AAGAGGGGAAGGAAATGTTTAAACATCTGAGAGCCTGTGGATTTAGGGCATTTGTCCTTCCCTTCTCTTGCTCCTATCTTTTTTTTGAGACTGGGAGTTCCTTCTAGGGAGGCATCTTCGGCCCTGGAGAACTCAAAGGGTGGATCCCAGAGGAGAGGGAGCAGAAAGTGTTGGCTTTGGCTTTGCTCAAACAAGACCTTCTTTTTCGATGATCCAATCCAGTTCTCCAGAAAGGATTAGGCAGGCATTCTGGGCAGAAGAACTGCCTCGGAGGGAAGATTGTGCCTTTGGCCAGCGTGTGCTCTATCTCATGAGAACCAGACAGTAGCAGACGAGGCACAGAAGGGTGAAGTCCAACAGAGCCAAGCATTCCCTCTGGGCCCTGGTTGGCAGGAGTTCTGATTTTTCTCAACTACCCGAAAGATCCTGTTACAAAGAACAAGGTCAGGCCCAAGTGGAGTGTTCTATCATTTTGGTATTTTTTTTAATTGTTCTACTCCTATGTCTTTTTTTCTTCAGTGGTAAAATAGAACCTGTGTAAAGTCCTCAATGGCACGAGACTAACACCTGTACTGTAAAGGAGGTGAGATGTTGCTGAAGCTCTCGTGCCAGAGTCAGCTCAGTCAACATTGCTCATTGCCCTAGTCAGTTTTACCAATTTTCCTGTCAAAGGGTTCATGCTGTGGGCCTTAGCTTTAGCCTATTGTTGAGAAACCATTTAATCGAAATAAAATATGTAATTTGCTTTCATGAACATTTTATCATGCCAAAGAAAACAGAGTAGGTAGCGCGCTCTGCTTTAAGCAAACTCATTTTATGAATGGACTGACAAATAAAGTAGGGGCAGATTATGAGCAAAAAGGTTCAATATAATTAGTAACAACAAGCTTTTCTGGTGCATTTTTAAACAATTAGTTTAATCAGTTCACACCTGCCTCACTGTCACATACATAAGAGCTTGCTTTCTGAGTGCAGGTCTATTTCCTTGGAAGATCTTCTGATCAAATGTATTACAACCAATAGGAACAAGAACAAAATAGATGTTCCGATCCCTTTCCTTTCTATTCAGCTTCCATCAAAAAGATACTGGGCTTCCCTGATGGCGCAGTGGTTGAGAGTCCGCCTGCCGATGCAGGGGACACGGGTTCGTGCCCCGGTCCGGGAGGATCCCACATGCCGCGGAGCAGCGGGTCGCGTGAGCCATGGCCGCTGAGCCTGCCCGCCCGGAGCCTGTGCTCCACAACGGGAGAGGCCACAGCAGTGAGAGGCCCGCGCAAAAAAAACAAAAATAAACAAAACTGAAGTTATTTGGGCAATTCTTGCCCTAAAGTATGGGTAGAGTTGTGTTAGATACAAAGTGAGACAATAGGAAACATTTTTTAATGAACAACAAGCTTTCACAGAGACTGTCTATACCACATTGTTATTACAACATAGATGAGCTGAAACTTCTTTTGTACAGATTTAGAGGAAAGAAGACCCTAAAGAGACATCAAGCATATAGAGGTAGTTGAATAGCAATATGGGAAGAAAAAAAAAGCATTATCTTATTTCCCCTTTCAGCTCATTACAGTGCAAGGGTAAAATGGCTGCTTAACAAACAACTGGAATTACAAACACAAAGACACATTTGCCACTGTTTAAATGGCTTGCTGGATATTTTAATCCGGGCATTACTGAGAACTGCATAAAATGATGAAACTAGTTTATCTAATAAGCTTACGATGCCACATTGAACTATTTTCTCTCCTTTGATTTTGTTGTTATTATTTTTGCTTTGACTATAGATAAATGTCAAGCAAGTTTTAAAATGATGCATAAGCTACAGCGTTGCTTTGTAAACTTTAAATGGCTACACAGTCACGAAGCAAAAGCTTTAAAATGACACCAGGAACAGAGATTACAGGCACTTCTCTCTCAAGGTTAATTTAGCTCATTTGAAAATACCCATTTGTAAAGGAAAATGTCTTCATTTCACCTCTGAAATGATGGGGATGTGCATAATCCAGATTATTAAATAGTCGAACAGTGGGAGCTATCATTCTAAGAGGAACCAAATGTGTACATTTTACTTGGCTCCTTTTCCTTCTTTCTGCACTCAGGAAAGGCCACAAATTGCAGCCCATGCAGCTGGCTGCTTCTCAGAACTGTCTTCTATCAAATCAAAACCTCATTCCTCAAGCCCAAGAATGGGCTGAAAATCTGTTCTTTTCCCTTATTTGGGCTGCCTTCTATTTGCATCTCGATTACACATCTCTGCTATGATTCTGCCTTAGGAAACAGAAATGGATGCAAAGTCAACATGTTGGGAACTCAAGGAATGAGTCCCTGAATAAAACTCCCATCTTGGAAATGGAGTTGGTGAGGGGAAACACAGCCCCCAGCGGGTTCCAGTCTATCAACAGTATGCGATCTATCGACAGTAAGAGACTTCTGAGCGCTGTGAACCAGCCTCAGAGCTCCACTGCTCCAACAGCCAGTCACAGGGGACTATCTGAGCCCAGTCCGGCTCCACAGGCAGAACTGGAAGTGCCACATGTGCAGTGATTCCATGAGTCCCAGCATGCTGCGGCAGCAAGGGGCTAGAAGCAGTCGGCCTTCAGAAAAGGCAAATTGTTGACACAGTCAGTTCTCTACCCCACTGAGTAAGGAGCAAGCACTCCTTTCTCCAAGTTGTCTACAGAAAATTAGTTTTATCATCTTTCATTTTCTACATTTTGCTGGTTATTAGCTAGCAGCAATAGTACAGTACAAAGCAGAAAGGCATAATGTCTGCTTGGTACCTAATATATATACACACATGTACATATATACACATACACACTCATATATATACACACACACACACACACACACACACACATCTATATACATCCACACACACACACACACACACACACACACACACACATACACACACACAGAAAATAACGTACTAGGAAAAGACTAGGTAAATCACAATAAACAGGAAAATTAGCTGAATAAATGGCACTAACTACCAAGGGGGAAGTCTTGCCCTTCTGGCCTAGATTTAACTTTATGTTTTTCCTGTATATACTCTTTATTCCCAAGTTTTGCAGCAAAATCAATTTACAAGCAGTGAAATAGTCATGTCCAATTGATTACCCCATTCAAGTACATATCAAAGAAAGCCAAGGCTTAGCCTTGCACTTTGCCTCCCACCACTACTGAAACAAAAGCTTGCTGTAAAACATGTAAAACAGTCCAAATGTGTATCCAGGCTACTGAGAGAAAAGTGCAATTCTGCCTAGCCAAGCTACATTTGCTGGAGTTAGGTCCTCTCTTATCAACGTGAAATATTCTATGATGTGGAATTTTATACATTTTGGAGAGCAGGAAGTGATGAGATGGTTATTCTAACGGAGCTAGAACTTAAGGCTTTCATTATATCAGAAATTCTAGACCTCCAAACAACACTAATTTTCAGCCCTCTTGAAAGAGGAAAAATTTGCTGGCATGGGATTCTCCCTTATCTCTGACCCTAATTTGTTTTCCAGTCTTTTCATTTTCCCAAACAGACTTGACCCCCAAAGGCATTACATGTAAATATTTCATCAAGTTATGGTCTGAAAATCAGAGGTGTGGATTCCCCCAACCAAGTTTAAAGGAATTGGAAATGGGTATTGTGTGTAAAGGCAGGGTTTTACGCCAATGTAGTCCCCTGATGATATTCTGTAACTACGAAGAATCTAATCATAGCTATTATTTGTTGAATGACTCCTATGTGCTAGGCACTATGCTAAGTGATGTATATATATTATCTCATGTAATGTTATAAGAACCCTACCTACAGTATTTATCCCCACCACTTGCTAGTTGACAAACTGGTGCTCAGAAAAAGTGAAATCACAAAAGTAACACATCTAGCAATCCAAGACACTTATGTCCCTTTTCTTTGTTGCATTTACACTAGACGGTAGGAAATTACTGTCCTAGGACAGTAATTATGACCACATGGTTGGGCACCAGGTGGGAGAGGGAGCCTTTCATTTCCTCCTACCTGAGCCTTGTGGAGTTTGCTTAGGCAGTAACCACGCCTATGCCTCCATTCTTTACCAGCCCAGTTGGGCTCCAAACATCAAACCTGGTAACATAATGCTCTGACAACACGGTGTTCATTAAGAAAGTGCAGAAAAGGTTATTTGGTTTCTGCTTACATGAATCTCTTTTTTGTTGCCTGGATCATCTCATTCTCCCCTGTCTGTTTCTGGCCACAGGTGGTGATGAAAGAAGTCAGACTGATTACATGAGGCATTAACCTCTAGCGGGAACAGAGTGGATGGGCTGTGTGTGAGTCTCGCACTGCAGCTGTCCAGAGTCACATGGGGGGGGGGGAGGATAATTGGCGTGAAGGTAGGAACAACACGATTTACTTCTTCGCTGTCCTAATCTTTTCACTCTGTCATCATAACACTCCTGTTTTCAGGCTGTCCTGGCACTAAAGAAATCAAACTGGCACTAAGCAAGCTAAACAAGACCTCACTCTTACCCCCTTACCACTATTCTTCCCCTGTATTGAAATCTTTGGCCCATCTCAGTGAGGAGGAAAGACCGTGTTTAGGTAAAATCATGGATTAATTGCTTCTTTTGAAAAGATTTTAAAACCAAAAAGATAGTTTGAGGGTTTCTTAAAGGGTTCTACCCTCTTTCCTGGCTTCTTTACACTTTTAATAATGAACCGTCCTTCATCAAGTGTTTGCACACATGCTAGCCAGGCCCTGATCCCCAGAACCCTGAGAAGAGGTGAGGTATGGAGGCTAGCTGGGCATGGCTGTGACACGCCAGACTGAAAACCATTACCTCTGAAGGGTTAAATATTATCCTGCCTGAAAGTCCCATTACTAACTGCCCTGGGGAGAAATTAAGATATAATTAGATTGCTGAAACAAATGCCTATAAGAGATTGCAACAGAAGACACTCCTCTAATTCATCTCTTGATTCCAGGAAAATAATTCCTTCATCCTGGCTCTGTATGACACATAGAAAATGGATTACTTTTATTGTACCCTGGCTTATTCCACAACCTATGCCAAATCCCTTAAGTATTTTATATTGTTGGATTCAAACTGAAAGCAAAATAGAATCTGTAAGGATAGATGATCTTGGCATGATTCTGAACTTCCTCTAAGCATCCAATTGCATAGATACAAAAATGGTTCAAGAACTGGGATCAAATGTAGCAAAAACTGTTAAAGCAAAAATTGCACATTTCTAGTATTGTTACTTCCCCCTAGGTACATGGTAAACCACATCAATAAATAAAGCAGTATTTTTCAGTAATGCACACTTAACTAGTTACAAACATACATGTAGAAAAAAAGGATATGGTAGTGCAGAAAATAAATTATTAAAACAGAAGGAAATATGAACATTATTTTACACAATGCTATATAAAATATGAACCATTTGGAATGACACCTCAAAAGTCAGTGAAATAATGCAGCAACGTGATTAGTAACTGGGCATCACATTTCAACCACACAGTCATTCGTCTATGAAAGACAGAAAATTAAAGCAAAATCACTTTAAACTTTGAGAAAATTTTATGTCAAAATCAAAAAAATTTTTTTTTCTTCTGGGCTCTTAAACAACCTCTGCTGTGCATGTAGTTGTGCAGCATGTCAAGAAGCATCTTAAGAAAGAAAGTTTCAAACAGATCACATTCTTTTGGTCTTTCTACTTAATTTCTTTCTGATCAATAGCAGGATAAAGCCTCTGTTTGATATTTCCTTCTAAGATGTTATTGCAATTAGGTATATTTACAAGACGACTCCCCCACGGTGGTGAGGGGAGCATGGGAGCTCCTTTTCAGCAATCCACTCACTAGTTTTGGTTTCGGGATATAAAGGCCAGGACTCGCCGAATACCGTTCAGTCTATCCTTTAGGGACCTCATGGCTAGGAACGGGAGCTGAGCTCGGCTTTCCAATGGAAGAACTGCTAATGTCCACCAGCACCAGGCCGGGCCATTGGGGTTGATCTGCAAGAGAAATGCAATGGGTTTGTCTTATTCCTGCGGAAGTGATCCGAGCCTGTAGGTCCCCAAAGTTGCCAGGAAACATCCCAGGTGGAACTGCTTCTGTGTGTGGCAGGGACTGCTAATTACCCCCCATCTCTATTTCCCTTTATCTTAGCTGGGCATACAGCCACCCAGGGGGTGGGGGTGGGAAGGCTACGTTTCTCAGCCTCCCTTGCAGCTAGGTGAGGCCATAAGACAAAGTCCTGGCTAAGGAGATGTAAAGGGCAGTGATAAGTGTAACTTCTGCGTCATGCTCTGGGAAAGGGGCATGCGCCCTCACTTTCCTCTTTCTCTCCCCTTCCCCTAGCTAGAACACAGACATGCTGATGATCAGACTTCTTCAATCAGGAGGATGAGGGCAACACTCAAAGGGCTTTGTCAGGGGCTTCCCTGGTGGCGCGGTGCTTGAGGGTCCGCCTGCCGATGCAGGAGACGCGGGTTCGTGCCCCGTTTCGGGAGGATCCCACATGCCGCGGAGCGGCTGGGCCCGTGAGCCATGGCCGCTGAGCCTGCGCGTCCGGAGCCTGTGCTCCGCAAATGGGAGAGGCCACAACAGTGAGAGGCCCGCATAACGCAAGAAAAAAAAAAAAAAAAAAAAAAAAAAAAAAAGGGCTTTGTCAGGAAGGAGCCCGGGTCTGAATGAGCTCACGGAACAGGGATGCCCTAGCCCTCCATCTCTATGACTTACACTCTCTATCTAGTTTAAGCTACAGTTATTTTTGGTAGTGGTTAAAGCAAACACATCAATTTCCTAACAAATACACCATACCTTCTAGCCAGGGTGCTTTTACAAGCTGAACTATCTACTACAGTCAGCCCTCCATATCCATGGATTCAACCAACTGTGGATCAGAATCGGTTGGTTGAATCTGTAGATGCGAAACCTGTAGATGCAGAGGGCTGATTGTACTCGTTGCACTACATAATTTTATAGAAGGGATTTTGGTATCCATGGGGCCTCCTAGAACCAAACCTCCATGGATACCGAGAGACAGCTACTCAGCCTCTTCCACCTCTTAGATTCTGTTTAGGCCCTTTGGCCTGATGCATAGAGCATATGGGTCTTCAGTTCTTATGACCCCTTAGGCTTTGCATGTCTCTTACCTCCATTTCCCTGTTTCTGGCTGAAGGCAACAGAGTCCACATATGCCAGCTCACTAAACGGGGCCACGGCTAGCCTCTCCCCTAAAACCAGAGCCTATGATTCACAGCCCCAAAGCACAGCAATCCCACTTTGCAAAAATTCCAATTGGAAAACACAGTCACATAGAAATATATCCCATCCCAGGTTTCCTCTAATAAAGAGCTTTCCTATCCTACAGTGATCCTGCACCCAAATTCTGTTTGTCAGCAACGCCCCAGGTACACATTGCAGACATTGGTGACTTAATTTCCTACTAAGCCCCAAATGAGCTTTCTGCCCACACCCTTCAGAAGGTTGGCTTTAGGACTGCAGAGAACCACATTCTACACGCGGGATTGTTTGCTTCCAAACTGGTCACCTGATTCTCCCACAACCTTCACTGCCTCTTTGCTTCTCTGTGCCTCTAGCTCCATTTGGATTCTTTTCGTCCCTCACTGCAGTCTGTAACGTGTTATCCCTCCTATGATGAGTTCTGAATGTTAGATTGCCATATCCTGGACCGTATTTCCCAGGATCATTAACAAAGATGTTTAAGCTGATGTGAATACATGTGGTGGTTCCTAAGAAACCTCCTGCGGAGGCTTAGAACATTCTTATTAATGGGACCACTGGGGCTACAGCATTGACTGGATCAAACTGGATGGGTTTTATTTTTTCTGCTGCTGCTGCTGCCAAAGCCAACAGTCCTAATAAGAAGTGAAATGAAACCCAAGATTTCGGCTTTCTGTGTCACTGAGCCCTTATGAATCACACAGTGGCACCTGTGTTTTGTCTTGTGGAAGATGCTGTTACCACTGCTGATCGCTATCTTCCGCCTGGCTAGGGGAGAATGCTTTCCAGAAGGTGAAGGGGAACATTCAACTTGATCATGAGCTTTCTCAGAGCTCTGCCGTAGTCCTGAGTCACGGTGGCCCAGAGCCAGGAGCTGGATCATCTGGAAGCAATGGCCTTTCTCCCTCCAACATTCACGATGCCTTTGAATGGGGGCGGGAAAAGGAGCCACCTTTGTGGCCGGGAGAAAACAAGACACTGCAGCGCATTAGGGAACAAGACTGGTGTTTTACAGCCTCAGAACGCAAGAGGAAGAAGGGACTTTAGAGACCTCCTCGTCTACCTCCCTCATATCAGAGATGGGCGAAAAAGTCAGAAAGGGGAAAGGACTTAGCCGAGGTCACACGGCTCGAGAGCTAAGTAGGGCCAGTTTTTTGGCACGGAAGTCAGAATATACATATTCTATTTTACTATTGTGATAAAGTCAGGAATGAGTACAGGGAAAGAATCAAGGGAGTTATGGAGGCGATTATGTAGGAACCAGGTCAGAATGTGGAAAGGTGATGGTGGGAAACTATTTGACTAGGGTATCTCCAGCCTTGTCCTAGACAGAGTATTCCCTGATGTACACCAGGCAAACAAAGCTTGGCGAAACTTAACTATCTCCACTTTCCTGGAGAGCTTCAGATCTGCAGCTTGATCTCTCAAATGGACCTGTCCCTCCAGGAAATAGACTGATCCAGTAGAATCTAATGAACTCTTTTCTAGTATAACTCAGCCAAGGGTAAATTTAAGGATTGGGTCAGTTGTCCCAGGAAAACTTGTGCATCCCTGATGAGGACAATGGCAGGGGTCTGGACCTGCAGGGCTAAGCGTGGAGGGACCTAGGGGTGAAAGGTTTCTGTGATCCTGCAGTTGGAACCCTGTAAGGCGGCTGGCCTTAGCTCCTCACTCCTTGCTCCTGAAGCAATCAGGGAGAGAGTTATGAAGCCTCCAGGAAGTGGCAGCCTTTGGTCTCAGCTCCCTAGGTACCCTTCTCTTAAGCCTGGCCTTTTGTGAATCTTGTCACCCTAACACATCATCATGGTGGGAATCTGGACTCACATTAAAGGTTCTCCTGTTGATGGTGCCTGTGTTCCCGTCCTCTCACTTAACTAATCTCTTAAAACCTATCTTGGATCCAAGTTCCTACTGCTTTACTTTAGTTCCTCCAATTCTGATTTGGGGTCCTTCTGTTCTTACCCATGATGCCTACTGCCCAGCCAAACAAGACCGATTTGGATCCATCTTCCCCTCCACACTAAATTTGCTGGGTGGAAACCACACACGCATCTAATCACAAACCCTAGGCTCTCTCATCTGGTGGGGGTGACTGATTACAAAGAGACATTTTTATATACCTGGGGATCAGCATCTTTCTCTGGCATTGGACCAAAATGACTGAGTATCCGATTCTTCAGAGATGATTTGAGTGAATGAAACCATGATGACGCTTGCTCGTAGACACAGTTATGTAATCCCATGAGCTCAGCACAATCCTCTCCTTGAACCTGAAAGTATCAAAGTGGAAGTGAAGCATTCTGTACCTTCTCCCTCATGCCTAGAGCCCCTTTTGACACCTGCCTACTTGAGCATCCATCCTGTCATCCTACGGGAAGACTCGCCCTTCTGGCTTTCTCCTGTGTAGCGTGTGAAAGGCTCCTCAGCCAGAGGATGGACTGTGTGTAAACACTGCTGAGGGTGGAGGACAGAGAAAGGTTCAGCTGGGTAAATGAGCTGAAACAGCCAGACATATAGAAAACCAGTGACGCCAACTGGCCTGAGTGGAGGCGTGCTGTTAAACTAGGTTGTGCTTGTTCACGCCTCTCTCCTTTTCATTTTTTAAATATCTGCTTTCCCGCTGCTCCCTGGGAAGAGAGGGAGCAGTGTCTGTGTCTCCGTATGCAACTTTATCTTCCAAGTCAAATACATTTATTAGTTGAGCAAATGTTTATTAGTCTTGTACTATGTAGTGAATGGAAATATAAACGCTGATGGGATTATTTACCTCTTCTTCTACCCGTTAGTTCAGAAAACCAAGGGTTAACTGGCCATGTCACCTTTCTGCCTTATGGGATATGATGGATTATTGGGAAGGGCTCTTGGCCAGGTTGCACATTTAAAAATAGACATGTGCATGTGAATCTACAATTATTTCAAAAGAAACAGGTTTAAAATATAAATAAAGCAAAAAATAAAATACATATGTATAGATCCAGCTCCAGATCTTGGTATCCCTGGCAGAGACATAACTCCTATGCTGAATGGGCCCCAGGGTTGGCCTGGCTTGGCATCTCTTATGCATGAATATAAATCAGCAACTAAGCAGGGAAAGCCCAGACAAGGGGCGCAATCACTGCCATTCCACAATCGAACAGCAAACCTGGCAGCATTCAGTGTGGCAGCAGCAAATCGGTGAGAAATCCCAAGGCCCCCATCCATGCCCAGAAATCCTTTTGCGATCATCTTGGTCTGCCAAGCTACAGGGCTAGCTTGGCTTCAGGATTCGTGGCACTGGCCGCCCTCACCTTTTGGTCTTCAATGTATTCGATGTCAGCTGTGTTGTAACCATCCCGCTGGCCCTGATGGAGGACCTTGAAGCGCCTCTTGCCTATGCTGTCGACCACTGAGCGGCCATCAGCAAAGAACTGAACATTTCTGATCTCTAGGATGCAGCCATATTCCGCAAACCTGTTTATGGGGAATGGACTCAAGAAAGTAAATTCTTGATGAGCTGTTTCCCTGGCCTGCGCACCTCCCCCCATCTTTATAACCCCATGTTGGGCCTTGAGGGACTTCTGCCTTCTTGCCTGTCCCAGGGTCTAAAGCTGCAATAACACCACAGGCAGTGCCTGTGTGAGAAAAAATTTTAATGTGTAACTGCTACCATTTATTGTACTGTGCTCAGTACTTTATGTGCATTATTAACTCACCAATCCTCCCAACAAACCCAACGAGGTAGGCACTATTATTGTACCCACTTTACAGATAAGGAAACTGAGTCACCGAAGGTTCAGTAACTTGCCCGAAGTCAAACTTGCTCCAAGGATGGAGCCAGAATACGAACCCAGGCAGTTTGACTCCAGGGACCACACTCTTATAAAACACGTTTTAGACTATACACCACCTGTTTAACAAAAGGTTGATCCTGGGGTTCCTTTAAACAGGTAGCCTCTCACACGGTAAACTAGGGGCCAGAGGGACCCTGATCCTTACAAATGCTCCTGGGAGGGCCCCCAAGTAAAACAAAAAAACCCTTTCCACCCAACCTCCCTTTACTTGCATAGCTCCTCACTTACCTTTTGACAGGATCTCCAAGGCACATGCCAAACTGTCGTGTGCCTGTCTCAATGCATCTACGAATCATCAGACGGTAACAAGGCTCAAAGATGTGCAGGGGACAAGGAACCGTGGGATATGCCATGGTACACACGAAAATAGGCACGTTCTTATTTAAGCTGTCAGGAAGAGCAAAGGACATGCATCTCACAGCATTGAAGCAGAACACAGAAAGGCTGGTCAAATTTCACCATGTGGTTCCCCCGCAGGAAGGCAAGGAGACATCAAGTTGAGGCTGATAAAAAATACTAAAATGCATCTGGTGCTGTGGGCTGAATCCCATTATCTGGTGCACAGGTTAGCCTAAGGGCTACGATTAAAATTGACATTCTACACATGCTAATTTGGGTAATGAAGTTCTCTAGTACCTTAACATTGTCGGTGATAGTTATACCTCATATTTTTCTCTCTTTCTTTCATGCTCTCCACTCCAAACAATCTCTCCAGGTGTCTTGCTGGCAGTATGGGGAAGGGTGGTAAAAGTGGACCCAGCTCTCCAGAGGAATGGTGGGAAAATCTCTGCAAGACCCCCGTGAACATCTCACATATTTGCAAGGCCCCCAGAGGATCTGCGTGGCAGGCCCAGCTGGGAGGAGGAGGGAGCAGTGGAGAGGCAAGAGTAATCTAGCCCAGTGATGTTCAAACGCTCCTGTGCATCAGAATCACCGGAGGCCCTTAAACGCAGACAACAGGCCACTGCACTACCCCCCCCCCCCGGGGACACTGGTGCAGTAGCTCTGAAATCGACACCTACGAGTCTGCCTCTCAACATGTGCCCACGAAGACTCAGACACACGACCTGTTGGGGAACCACCAACCGGGCCAGCTCCTCCTGGATCACTGTTCTCTTATTTGTCTAGTAAATCCAATACAGGGACATCTGAACATAAACTTACCGATAGATATATAAGATCATTTGCCCAAATCTCAAAAGGATTAAATTTAGGATTCCTTTTAAGAGAAATCCACCTAGTATGTTCCAGTGTTTGTCAATCAGACGTTAAATGGTATTTGAGAAGAGGGCCCAGAGAGACTCAAAGTGAACTTAAGAATCAGAAATAAAGATAAAGATGCCTTGAGTAGATCTAATATGTTAATGAGCAAAGAACGATTTCATTTCTGGCTCCCCAGCACAGCGTGTTATTCAAAGTGAGAGGTACAAACAAACTGGTGGCAGTTTAGAAATGTTCTCTACAGGGTGAGCATAAAACCAGAACAGCTTTTGCCATCGGGAACTTTGCCCCCAGAATGCTGTGAGAATTCCAGCAGGGATGGGGAGATGGGGGGTCAGCAGTATGAGAGACAGAAATTAGTGATTTCCTTCCTGCTTTTTCTGCTAGGTGAGTTGTTCTTCCGGCCAGGCAGAGAGCTTGGAGCCTTACTTCTTTCTCCACCCCTACTCTCTACCTCTCACAATACCTGTGATGGAAGAGGAAGCATAATAACAAGCAGCATTCTTACTATTGCTTTTATTAAGTGCTTACTATGCACTAGCTCATTTGATCTTTGTAACAAGTCCAAGTCTATTATTAACCCCAAGCTACAGATGAGGAGACTGAGGCCCAGAGACGTTAAGTGACTTGCCTAGGGTCATGAAGTATACTCCTTTTGTGGCAAAACTGCATCATAAGCCCAGGTCCGGCTGATATCAAAGTTCTTAACCTCATAGAACCTCCTTATGTACCTGAAAACCGTCTTCTGGATACAGCTGACCCTTGAACAACACGGGGGTTAGGGGTGCCAACCCTCTGCCCAGTTGAAAATCAGCATATAATTTAAGAGTCGCCCTCGGTATCCAAAGTTCCTCTGTATCCGCGGTTCTGCATTCGTGGATTCAACCAACCACGGATCGGATAGTGTAGGACTATAATATTTACTACAGAAAAAAATCCACGTATAAGTGGAACCGCGCAGTTCAAATCCATGTTGTTTAAGGGTCAACTGCACTTCATTAAGCCCCCCTGATTAAATTATTCCAATAATTTGGTATCCGTGATACCCAGTTACTAGTGCCAATATGTGACCTGGTCAGTGGTTCGGCTTAGGTTTCTTCAGTGGGTGCTGGTAAACGAACACCTGGCTTTCTGGGGATGGAGCGGGTAAGCCCTTGTTACAGCATTTGCCAATTTCTGTGGTGTAAATACTCTCACTGTGGCCAATTTCAAGCTACCAACATGGTATCACTAAATGAGGAGTTAGGAGGGAATGTACACTTTCAGTTCTATGACGTGGTATGAGTGAAACTGAAAACAGCAATGTGCATATGCATACTTAGAAAGTTCTTCCATTTCCTCTTCATAAAGCCTTCTTCGTTCCTTGAGTTCTTCTGGAAGGAATTTAGCTATTAGCTCTTCCATTATGACATTTTTACTGTATTTTCTTGATGCCAAGCACTATACGGGGAACAAGGCAATTAGATATTATGCAGTCATCAGGAAAACACAAAGCACTTCTGATGTAATCAGTAGAACAGTTAAATGTCCCACATACTGGCGTAATTCAGACCCACACATTGGCAGCTGATACCATCATAATGTATATATTCTCTGGAGGTTAGAGTTTAGCTTAAAAAAAACCCACATGCAATGAATTACTTTTATAATTAGAAAAATTATTTTAAAAAGGGGAAAAGACCAGCAATGGAGTTTTAAAAATGTCATAGCTTTCCTAAAACGCTGAAATTGATTGAGACCATGTTCTTGTCAAAAAAGGGAGAAAATCCTTTCCTTTCCTTTTTCTGATTATTGTGTTTATAAGCTCCCAGAAATGGTCTCCATCTCGGATATGCTGAAAGTCCGTGGTCAAAAGGTTCAGGGAACTAAAAAGCAATTTTCAATTATTGATCCTTTCCTGCTGTGCCCCACTCCCAACCCCACCCCAATGCTTGGGCTCCGGGATATTTCAAGTCTATATATTATACATAGTTTTTTCTCCTCTAACTTTAGTTTTAAAACGAAAAGCTATACTGGTGATTTCATTTGCTTATTTTTTTTTATTATACCGTCTAGGTATTACTGGATTTATGTTATAAACCCTGATTTCATAACCTAACTCGGGCTCAGTTGTCAATTGTCACTACTATTCTCCCCCCAAACACCCCTAGTCCGTGCATATCCAGGGATCTGTAAGGAGTGGGTGTTTGTGTGAACCAGACAATGGGAACGAAAACATCTGCAGAGAACTGCTGGCTATGGAAACTACCCACACAGGCCCAGCAGGGGGAGCTCCTGAGCATAAAACGGCAGGCTTCAGACATTTTTTCCTTTCCCAGTACGGGCTACGTCTGCCTATTCCGCAGTGAACATGATCGGAATAAGATATTTCTCTCTCTGGAAAATGGTGCAAGTGTGACCCTGTGCGAAGACACAGAGATAGATGGGAATATCTTCTAGCCCCTAAGTCCAGGGCCTCACAGCCTCTGCCTCCACGATGCCTTCTCAGCCACTGCCATGGCCTGGCTGCAGGAAAACCGGCTGCTTTGACCAGTCCCAGTCTTTGGGGAAAAGCAATGACTCAGGAGGTAGCCTCTCCAAGAAGGAGGTGACTCCTCCGCTGATGCTGAAACAAAAACCCAGTAAAGGTACATACTAAAATTTTAACGGTAGATTTTCCTTCTTTCTGTTAATCTGAATGTTGTAGTGTTACCACACCACCAATGTATTATTGAAGTATAAGGACCATGGGCTTCTCACCTACAATCAGGACAGCAAATACCACCTCTTCACCTAGGCCAGATATGACATTGGCCCTGCCCCGCAGCCCAATACACAGCCTCAGGGCTATCCTGGATGATTATTTCACTCCCTTCCCTTAATTTAAATGTTGAGGTGTTGGGAAAGCTTGACACATGACTCCTCTGGATCTACATTCACCTAGAGACAGTCTTGCATCATCTCCAACCTCTCCTCAGGGATGACAGGGGTCAAGGAACATTTATACTGATTGTAAAATATGGCACACAAGTCCCTGGGGTGGGGGGACAAGATGGATTCCCAGATAGAAAATTACAGCAAGTCCATTTGAAAGACAAAGGTGGCAGTTTGTGTGATTCATTTTAGAGAATCTGGAAGCCCCAGAGATTTTCCAGCAGACAAATGTCTGCTAATAAGTACAGTGGCAGCTGAGGCGTGGGGCAAGGACCACAATGAAGGTCTGTGAGGTTTTCCTGGGGACCTGGGAGTGATCTCTTCAAACCACAGAATAAACATTGATGATAAGGGGACATCGGAGCTCATCTAGTCCAAGCCCAGGGAGGACAAAAGATTCACCCAACGTGACAGTGAATCAGATGCCATGATGGGATTAGAACAAGAATCCATGTTTATCATCATTCTGATACTTTTGTTTCCAACACAAATTAATTTCACTACTGACAGTTCATAAAAAGCTAGATGTTGCCTCATTTCCCTGGAGGACTTTGTGGAGAGGGGAGGGGTGGCTCTAAGACAGGAGAAATAAATGGTCTGAGGGGGTGTTTTGCTCTAGCACAGTGCAGTGGCTTGGGATCCAATAGGATGCTGTCTTTGTACCCAATTCCCAATAAGCTAGCCCAATCAAGAAAGAAAGAACGTTTTACCTGTGAAAGACCATCTTTGCACAGCGGACACTTCGCATTGTGATCTAGGCATCTTTCAAGGCATTTTAAGCAAAAGGTGTGTCCACAAGGTGTTGTGACTGGCTCATAGAATAATCTGAAATTTAGGAATCAGAATGCAAGAAAACTGCAATCAGACCAAACATGAAAGACAGAGCTATTCAATGTTCAGGTGTTATAGTATTATTTGGGAAATTCTATGTGCAGGGGTGGGAGGGGGTTCTTTTTCCTTTTTTTAAAAAAAAAAAAAAACCCTGCTGTTGTTGCAGTTCAGAAAAGCATTTGCTTTTTATTTCTGAGCTGGATTTAAATGTATTAAATTATGCATTTATTAAAATTTAGGACATAGCTAGATCATTTTGTAACATTAGTTCTAGTCAGTCTCTTCCAGGGCATCCACATTTTTTTCCCTGTCAAGTCCTAGAGAAATGAAGATGAATGCCCAGTGTCTTGAATGGATTCCATTCTAAAATACTTAGCCAACCTGTTCACTTGAATATATGTTAACACATAGATAAACAAACACACACTCCCATATTTAAGTACTTTATATCATATTACACTGGAAAAAGACTAGGCTTATTTGCTAACCTTGATTCCATTTTTCACCTAAGCAATGTTTACAGCCTGAAAGATCTCAAAATTGCACCTGTAACAAACATAACTGCCTTTTACATGGATGGATCATTTTCCTAGGGACCACAGAGTAATATTATTAATGTGCTTACTGATGGATAGACAGACACATACATACATACATGTGTATGTATACACATACTTTAATTAGATCCTATTTTAATTGTTTTGCAGGAGCTGTCTATTTTTTCAAAGCAATCTGAGGATCTCTTAAAAAGCTGTTCTGTACATTCAGAGATTCATGGATTTATTTTGCTTAAAGAAAGGCTCACCTGCAGCAGGACCACTGGATGGGGGCAGCTGAAGATGATGCTTCAGAAGCGGAGCTCGCACTCACCAAGAGGACAGAAAGAAGGGAAAGACGCCTGACCAGCCTATTCTGACCTCACAAGAGTGTTCAGTTGAGAGGAAGAGGCTGCAGGCTGCACAGCCCCCTCGTGTGGCCAGGAGGTGCACCAGCAGCCTGGCCCGCACAGCCAGGCTGAACAGAGGAATCAGAGCGTCAGAGCTGAAAAGCACTTGAGAAAAAAATCGAACCCACCAATCAGAATGAAACTGAGATCCAGAGGGGATGAAGTGGTTGTTCTAAGAGTACACAGCCAACTGTTGGCAGATGACATGGAAAAAGGCACACTTCCAGTAGTGTGCCTTTTCTGTTAGAACAGTGATTCTCAACCACTGCTGTGTGTGAGAACCACGTGTGTTGCTTTTTCTTTAAATAGCTTTATAGATGTATTATTGACATAGATGTATAGACTGCACATACTTTAAGCGTACAACTTGAGAAGTTCTGACACACGTACACACCTACGGGGCCACCTCCACAACCAAGATAATGAACATGCTTGTCACCCCCAAGTGTCTCCTTGTGCCCCTGAGTAAACCCTCCCTCTTGCTCCTCCCCAGGCCACCGCCCTCCCACCATCACCTGGGGAACTTTAAAAAACTACAGAGGCCCAGAATCTCACCTACAGAGATGCAGATCAGTTGGTCCAGGGTAAGGGCCAGGCATCAGGATTTGTCAAGGAGCTCCTGGGGTGGTTTTAATGTGTAGCCAGGGTTGGGAATCTCTGTATTATACAATCCTACTAACATCTGTGTAGGCGAATCTACTCTATTGGTCTCCAAAGCTAATTATCAGAGTCCCAGGTGGAACTTTAAAAACGCAGACGTGGCAAAGTCTCACTGGATAAAGTTTACAATTCAGGAGGTCAAGGGGAGGAGCAGAGATTTGATATTTTTAACAAGCCAATGAAGGTCTGGGCTAGGAGAGAGATTTTTCATATATTTACTGTTTTCTACTTTTTAAATGTTATCAACCTGTTTAAAAAGCAGTTAATTTGTTTAACCGAGTTAATAAATTTTAGTTACTAAATTGGTCAAAAAGTAAAATTAATTTTCAGAAAACCTCTTTGATGAAGGTCCTAACCAGTGTACTAAGGCAAGGAGAAAAAAAGTTTGAGGACTTAAAAGGGGAAAAAACAAATCTGTTGTTATTCACAAATGGTATGATGATGAGCTTAGAAAATCTAAAAGAATCTATAGAATGATTATTAGAATTAATAAGAATTGATAGAATTAGCAAAGAAGCTAGAAAATACACACACACACACACACACACACACACACCATTCAACTGTAGCTCTATATACCAGCAACAAGCATGAGAGAATACATTTTTGAAAAGATGACATTTACAATTGCTTTTGAAAATTGAGTGCCCAGGAATAAATCTAACAAAAGTTTATGAGACCTCTATTGAAAGAAACTGTAAACATTTCATTGAAAGAAAGTAAAGAAGACCTGAGTCCCAATAAAAACCCCAATGGGTTATTTTACTTGTTTGTTTGTTTTTGTGGAACTTGGCAAGTTGATTTCTAAACTTTATAAGGCAAGGCAAAGGGCCAAGGCGAGCTGAGACACTTTTGAATAGCAGCAATGTAGAAGGACATGCTACCAGACATCAGAACTTACTATAAAGCAGTAGTGATTAAAACAGAGTAAGACTAGCACAAGGACAAATAGATCCGTGGAATAGAAAAGGAAACCCAGAAATAGACTGAGACCCAGATTCTTGATTTATGACAAGTGTGGCACTTCAAAGCAGAGGGAGGATTTTCAATACATAAATAGCATTCTCAATAATGCTATCTGGGATAGTTGGCTATCCATAGGGGGCAAAGAAGTTGGACTGCCTCTCACACCATACACAAAAAGCAATTCCATGTGGGCTGTAAAAATAAATGTGAAAGGCAAACAGTACAGCTTTTAGAAGACAAGACAGAACATCTTTCTGACCTCGGGGCGGCGGGGGGGGGGGAAGCTTTCTTAAACAGGACACACACACGAGAAAGCTAACTGTAAATGAAAACACTGATCATTGTTACTGCATCAAACTTAAGAACTTGTTAGCGCGTTGAAAGGTGCCATTAAGAGAGCAAAAAGGCAAGCCAGAGCGGGAGAAGATATTTGCAGCACACGTGACTAACAAAGGACTTCTATGTAGAACATACATAGAGCTCCTACAAGTCAGTAAGAAAAAGAGAGATAACCCAATCAGAACTGGGCAAAGAGTTATATACGCACCAGCAGACATAAAAACTGTTCATAGTAACGTTGTCCTTAATAGCCCTAAACTAGAAACAAGCCAAATATCCATCCAGAATATAACTGATTTTGGTTGATTCATACAATGGGACACTATACACTAATGAAAATGAACAAACTTCACCTACATGGAATAACATGGATACATCTTCATCCTGAGGAAAAGAAGCCACAAAAAAAGAATCCGTTCTGGATAATTCAACTTATATGAAGTTTTTTTAAAAATAGGAAAAACGAAATTACACAGTTTAGAGATACATACAAAGGCGTCAAGATAGTGGTTTCGGTGTTGGGGGTGGGGGTGTCATGATTTGGAAGGGGCACACGGGCAGGTTCTGGAGTCCTGGCAATGTTTTATTTCTTGGGCTGAGAGGGGTTCCATGAGTATCCTCTTTACAATATTTTGTTAAGAGAATATATTCATATTTTTACATACTTTCCCACTGTGTCTATTTCACAATTTAAAGTGTTTTTCAAAATTGAGATTTGCAGGCTGATTTTGGGAACTACTGCTGTGATCTAACTCCTAGAAGCAGCCAAAGCAGATGATCTCATTTCCTCAGTAATTTGAGACCTATGAATCTGAATGCTTTTTATACATTACTTGACGACGCTAATGATGAAGACTGACTGATGAATCTGTATCTGCAAAACTATTTTTCTTGAGAATTTCAAGCCTTTTGTTCATTGAAGAATGTAATCCACATACAAATAATAATGATATAGCTGGCCAATTAATTGCAATAAATACTGACAATTAATGGGCAGATGAATGAAACAGACACAGAAGGATACAGCAACTCTTAGCAAGAGCTATGATTAAAATGCTCCTGATCTCAGTGGTCACAAACAAGAATGCTGCCACAGATGCTGCATAATTATTGCTTTGAAATAATTCAAGGTTCAGATGCTTAGAATATATCATCTTTCAATACTCAACCCACTTCTATATTCAGGCTGACTGAGTAAAGTGACTGGGGACAGATGGAATATATTTCTCTCGCTATCCTGGATGTGTACAATACTGTTTTTCATATAAATTAACTTTATACGGTCATAGGCAATAACTGGACTAGCTCCATTTTACTATTGAGGAAATTAAGACTAAGACAAGTTAAAGAACTTGCGCAAGGTCACATAGCTATAGCTACTAAGTAGCAGGCTTGGGATGTGAAGTCACCTGTGAGTCACAAGCCCATCTTCCTTCTCCACTACATGACACAGCCACGACTGTGTGTTCGTCTACATCTAGAACACACACCATCCACGTACATGTAGGTGCACACACTCACAAACACACCCTTTCCTCTCTCCCTCTCTGTCTCTCTCCCTTCCTTCTCCCCACGGCCAGAGACAGAGAGGAACTCTCTCTATGTAGATAGAACTAGAAATAGATATATACTCAAATCCCTCCCCCTTTTATTTACCAGTTTAGGTAACGATTTTGGAAAACACTTCAGGGGGGCATTTATAAATCAGAGTAGGGCCAGATTTTCTCACAAGAAAGCATTTTACATTGTCACAGTGATGGAGTAAACAACAGTAATAATAAATGCTTTCAGTTAGATGTCAGCCCGGATAAGATGTTTGGCTTGTCTGGAAATAGCTATCTTTTCCCACCAGTTACATCCTTGTATTGTGCTCTTTTGCTGCTATCAAATGAGAGCAAAGACGGAATGAGGAGGAGGGAGGGGGCAGGGGGAGGGGGGGGAGAGAGAGAGAGATTGAGAGAGAGAGAGAGGAGAGAGAGAGAGAGAGAGAAAGTGAACTGAGCAGCTAAAACTAGGTTAAATATAAAGCTTTTCATTTCAATTGACAAAGAGGTCACTGGGCCATTAGGTAACTGGTTCAAATATCAAACATTCTTGCTCCACATCTCAAAATATCCTTGTCACCCCAAAAGTCCTGCTCCACAGCAGCCCCAGAGGTGGCCCCCAGGGCTAGGATATCTGGAGCAGGTAAATCCCAAGGGAGGATCTGCACTCACTAAAGACTGAGGGGCAGAGAGTGACTTCCCTCAGCACAGCTCTCCCCGTCCAGCAAGGGAAACTCGGAATGGAGACTGGAAAGTTTCTCATTAGCTCACCCTCCAACTGCTGTTCCATTCACTCTCTCCACCATTCTCCCTGAGGAATTTATAAGCCCCTCCGGACTTTCCCTCTAGAATCAGAACAAATAAATTCACACTCTTAACTTGTCTTCTACCAATGCAGCACCACGGCCACTGGATTTCATTCTAGAAACCTGCACAGGAGGTACAAATGTCTATGGTTTCATGACCCGGCAGGTTGTTTGAAAATATCTACCCTTAAACCCTCTCCACCAAAGACACATGAGGGTCATAACGGAACGTAATAATAATCCTAATAACAATTTAAAAAAGAAAAACACTGAAGAGAGGTAGAAACAGGAGCTTTTCCAAGACTGCAATAATTCAAGCTAAAGCATATATTTGAAATGGCCTCTTGTCAATATGTGATTTCTGAGTTGGAGACAAGCCCTGTTGGAAGGGGAACTACATGCTTTTGAACTAGGGCTACAGTTTTAAGAGCCTTGCGATCAGAAATGTTCTCTAGACTTGGCAGGCTTCTTTTCACCGTAAAGCGGCTAGAGTCCCACCCACCCCACCCCACCCCAGCCCGGTAACTTACCAGCCCATACAATAGCTTCTCCAGGCAAAGATGGGTTTTTGCTTTGAAGTCTCATTTAGAACAGAGGGGCAGGATAAGGGAAATAATGGCTTTTAAACTCAGAGCGAGCCAACTAGAAGGGGGTCTTATCCTCTTGGTGTTTATTTCTTGGACCAAATTTCTAACCCTTCTCTGAAGCTCCCTGTTGAGATCAGGGACAAACAAGATGAAAGGGAGAAAGCAGAGGAAAGGGAACAAAAGAACTTCAACCTCAGGATTCTTAGCCCTCAGGGAAAACACAAACAGGATGAGTCTGCGTGTTTGATTCTGCGTCCCCGGGATGCCGGGAGGCGTGTTAAGGAGGATTAAGTACACCAAAGACCCAGGCTTTCTGAGTGAGCTGAATCAAGTCTATCAAAGTCTGACATCTGAAGGACCACAGCTCACATCACGGGCTGAGAGCCACAAAGGCGTTATTACCTGTGGAGGCCCATTTGTCTGCTTGGAAGCAGAGTTTGTCTATCATCTCACAACTTGGCTCTGGCACGACCCACCTGCTATGTTGTTGTGAGGGGGAGGGGGAACTGGTTATACAGCCCATCCTACCCTCGACCACTCTACCTAAACTCAGACAGTATATGGAAGGCTTGCCGCTACATTCTTTATCGAGTCTGTCTGAGCTTATGAGCAAATCTGACAACTCTAATTGTTTTAAGAGAGAGAAAAAGTATGTGTTCGGGTAATGGCTACCTTACTCATTTTTATTCAGAGGACAAGACAAGTCATTCCGAGTATGCCTGGGATTGACATGGAAGGCATATGTGCTTGTAAAGGGCAAGAAAACCTCTGAGGAGCCTCCGTTGGCTGGATCCATCTGTGTGGTGGACCGAAAGATTTTTCTTGACCTCTCTTCTCTTGGTTCAACCATCTTAACAACTTTTGTGCAAATATCTCAGCCTCCTTTTAAAGCTCTTTTGGGGGGAAAAAGGCACGTTTGAGAACCTACTGAAAGCTGTGGACCTTGTCCTGGAAAACTCACACACACGCACACAGACACACACACACACTTTTACATATAACTGCAGGGAATTCTTAGATCTATTAGAATCCATAGATAGAACCCCCTCAGGGGTCCATGGACCTAAAGTTAAAGAACCTCTGGTCTAGGGAAAAAAGTTAACATTTATTGAGTACTTACTATATGTCAAGCACTATTCTAAGTGTCTTAAATAGATTTTCTCAATCATAACAAGCCCATAGAGCAGGTACTACTGTTCTCTATTTTACTCATGAGAAAACAGTGGCAGAGAAAGTCACTTGCTCCAGGTCAAACAGCCAGTAAGTGGCAGAGCCTCGGTTGAAACCCAGGCACCCTGGCTTTGGAGCAGCTCCTCTTAGCCACAAAGCCACAGCTGTGAAATGAAACAAGTGAAAGTAATTTCTTTGCACAGACCACTACTGTAGCAGTTTCCTTTTTGTGTATGTTGGAGGGTGGGCAGGCATGTGGATAATTTGTGTGTCCAGAGGTCTGAGAAAGTAGAGATGATGTGGCAGTGGGTGGAGGAGAGACGCTTGGCCAAGTGGTACATGCCCACTACTGACTACTGTGCAGGGCACAGGACAAAAACTAGTCAGGCCCTCTCTTGGCTTCCAAAGAATAGGCCTGTGGTGCTGACACTGGCCCTTGAGCTTTGAGATCTTGATCAAGTAGCCAGTTGAGATTAGTTCCAGGGTCACAAACTTAAACGCCTACAAGGCGCCCGGAAAGCAAAGCAAATGTGAGAGGAAGGCTGGTGTAAGGCAGTGGCCATGGGAGGGGGGCCGTGACCAACTGGAGTGCGTGTCCTGTCTCAAAACGTTCACCTTTCACAAGCCCCCAAACCCCGTGAAGGCCGAACAAAAGACATCCAGCCTGTGGGCCATCAGTTTGTGACCTCTGAGTAGACCGTTTCCTTCCCACTCTCTAGGTATTTCCAAGTCAGGAGTGCGGGGAATGCAGTCTGTAAGCAAGGGACACAAGCTAGCCCGTGTGACAGTTAACGGCGTGATTTCCATTTTGTTAGAACCACGCTTTTCCGTGCTAAGCAACCAAGCAGTAGTTCACTAGCAGACAAGCCCCGACACCAGAGGGGAAGGACACTCAGGCAGTGACAGTACACATCACATACCTCATGCAGAGGGAGCATTCAAGGTCAGAGGCGTCAAAAGATGCGAGTGGAACACTGAGAGCAGGTTTGGCCCCCGGAGCAGCAGGAGGATCTGTGGTTTAGAGAGTAGAAGTCAGAGCCGAACCAACCTTGGTTTCACAAACAGCACGTCTGAGGCAAAAGAACCCAATTATTTTTTCAGTCTGCCACTCTCACCACCTCCCAGAGAATTGATTTAGTGGCCACGTGAGCCACTGAGAATGGGGTACCCTGAAACAGGCGCTCACAGGCTTCCAACAGTCCCATAAAGAGACGCACAAGTCAGGGACCCTCCGGAGCCCTGGGGGCTTCCTTCAAATGCAACAGGCGCCTCACTCAACAAGCGGCGGCGGCAGCAACTCCGCGGACTGAGCCAGGCCTTCAGAGCTGACACTGAATCTTGGCACTGCCAGCCGCTCTGGGAAAGGTATCAAGCTGCGGCTGCCGCTTCTCAGATGCCTGCCTACGGGAACACGACTGGGAATGAGCGGAGTGAGGCCTGATCGCGCTGCCCTCGTCCTACGTTCCCGGAATGGGGAATGGGGGTAGCCAGAGGCTGGCCTGGAAGGAGGTGACACCATCGAAGGCATGAGATGTCACTACTGGACGCTGTGCTCTCACAGAAGCCCCACAGGCACTCCGGAGGAGGCAGAGCTGAGAGCTGGGCCCCATGCAGAGCCGCGGAGCCCTCCCGTGGAGGGTAAGGGACCTCCACATACTGGTGAGCCGGGCCCTCCTCCGAGCCGCTTGCCCCCCGGGGTAGAGTCCGCACCTGACTTAGACGCTTTCCTAGGCACCTCGGGGTCTTGGGGTTCGATTTGGCAGCGCTTCCTTTTCTTCCCCTGGCATTTGCCGGTCTTGCTGGAGGCAGCTTGGGGAGAGGCAGCGGCCCCCTCCTCCTCCGCTCCGTCCTGGTCTTCCGGGCCGTCTTGCTGCCTGTCCCCTTTCACCGGCACAGAGCTGCCTCTGTGCCCCCCGGCTGCTGCCGCCTCCTGACCAGAACAATGTGGATGCTCCAGCGTCTCCTGGAAAGGAAGAGCCAAACATCAGGATCTACTCACGACCAACGTCGTCCTCTGATGCTTCTCCCCAGGGGCACAACGAGAAGATACCGCACAGTGTTGATCATCTAGAGGACGTGTGGCTTAACTGATGGGCGGTCACAGGGCACAGGCAGGCCCAGCTGGGGCGGAGCGGAGGAACCTCTGTCCGAGGCAAGGACAGAAAGGCGTGTGGGGAGAGAGTCCTTGGGCCGCGCTGAAGGGGAGAACGGCAAGTGCAGTGCCAGGCCCCGCTCCCCTCCAAATCAGTCCCCAGTCACTACCTGAGGGAAACCAAGGCGTGCAGTACAGCGAGGGTACATCCAGCCACTCGGTACTTCCTCTCACCCTCACTGCCATTCCGGGCCATCCTCGATCCCCACACCCAGCTCCCAAAGAACTTTCGGGAAGGCTCTGGCACAGGTGTGTTCACAGGCCTGCCGAGTGCCCTCACGCTCCAGAGCTATGTGTTATACTGGTCAAACAAACTAGGGACAAATTAGTCTTTTCACTAGATTTCGGGTGAAAAGTCTGAAAAGGAGACAAGATCATTTGGCAAAACGATCCATCATGTCTCTAGCCTTTTAAAGAATTTTTGTCCAGGAGAAGGATCTAGAAAAAGCAAATCCAATGACAAGGTGTTTATGCAGGTTTACCTAGAGAACCCCTCTCTCTACTGCACATCCACAGCACAAGGGTCAAAACGCTCATGCTGTTTTCTCCCCTCCAACTCCAACCAAAAACATTGGTAGATAGATGAAAAATGGGCAGTGCACAGCTTGGAGAAAATGATGAGGTAAGGAGAAAAAGGATGTGGGTTTTCTGAGCCCCTAACCTGGGGAGTTCAGGGTTTTTTTCAGCACTGTGGCACTGCCGCATCCTTTCCACGAGCCCCAGGCATAGTCTACACGGTACACTGCTTTGCAAGGCAAAGTTTGGGTGGAAACCCAATCCCTGCTCCCCAGCTGGCTCACATGGGAAAGCCAGGGGTGCTAGTTTTCTTCATTTCAGATTGAGCTGCCATTAGAAGTCACTCCAGAGACTTTGGTTCAGTGTTAGGGCTCTCAATCCTGTAATAATGATCTCAAACAAGTACTGAAATGCACTAGAGGTGCTTTGATTTCAGGAGATACTCTAAGTTCTGCGCCCCCACCCTTTTTTGAGTCAGGTACACCTGCATTTTATTCATTCTCCAGAGCGGGGAAAGAAGTCAGGGAGATGTAAGATTCTCACCTGTCAGAGAATCCAAGAAGCCATAGAGACCCCAGGGCTCACATACAGGGGAGGAACACGGATCACAGATGGTGGGCAGGCAGATGTCCCGAGGTGCCTAGACCTTCAGAGCTCAACTCTGCCTTCACGTCTGCCCTCCTGAGCCCCAGCCTCTGCCCACTTGCCCTCTGCTGGGAAAGCTAGGGCCTGGAGACCATCATTTTCAAAGACTCAAATACCTGCGACTTCCTAAGTCGCTTCCCTCTCCCCCGCTCCAAATATGTATTGGAAGTCTACTTACGTGTTAAGACATGGTGCAGGAATATGAAATTACCTCCCCTTGGGGATCAAATGGAGTTGTCTTTGCACAAGGAACTTAGCTGGGAGCAGCTTGCACAAACAAAAAGCAGGAAAGGAGGGGCTGTCAGGCCCTCTTCCCAGGCTCCGCCCCTAAGCTGATAAAGCCACCCCGACTGAAGGGCTCCAGGGGAAGTGGGCCAGATCCTTTCTAGTTCTGTCAACTCTCTCTTTCAGCTGGATCCGACCAAGAACTGAAAACTGAACGTAATAAATCATCAACCCCGGGCCCCCGCCTCAAATCCAATTTCATCTTTAGGAAATAGCCTTCTAGCACAGAAGGCAGCCATGAGCGACTCCATTTCTTCTTTCTCAGGAACCGAATGAGGTAGGAGAGTGAGGGCTCACGCCCCATGTTTGCCCACAAAACAGCCAAACGAAGCGTCACGAGCGAGCTGGGTGAGTGGAGTTTTACCTGTGACAACTTTGGTAGATTATGGCTGGTGCCTTCAGTAGCCAATGACTCTACGTGTTCCTTTAATCTAGGGTGAGGTGCCAACAGCTTCAGGATATCGGGAGAATGTTCCTGAGAAGCCCCCGGGAATGATGGTGAAAAGAAACTAAGGAGAAGCTGTGACATAAAACAGAAGACTTCACTACTTAAGTTTCTACAGGTGCTTGGGTGAAGGGTGGGGGGAGGAAGGGGCAAAGGGCACAGCTTGCGGGGCCAAACTCCAGGGAGGAAGCCTTGGACCAGAAACCCCGACACAGTGGGGTAGGGGTCCTCACTTCAGCGCATCGGAATTGCCTGGGGGAGCTTAGGGAAAGTCCAGGTTCTAAGTTCCCATGCCCGGCTCCATCCAGGTCTGAAGTGTGGCCCGAGAATCTGGATTTTGAAAAGGCACTACAGATGCCTTTGTCACCCTAGCCAGAGGTACAAACCACCACTCCGCTGCTGCCATTCCACAGAAATATCTGCAGGGGATTTCAAAACCTACCTAGGAGGAAAGAGGCAGAGGTGAAGACGGGAGAGAAACAAGCTGGGGGACCTGGAGTCGTGTTGGCGACACCCCCATGCGTGGAAGGTGACAAATGTCATCGAAGTTCCTCGCTATTTCTTCCCACCCTGCCCATTTTGCTCCCTCCTCCATCAGCCCCGGATCATGGATCCCTTCAGCAGTGAAATGTCCGGAAAAGCAGAACCCAACCTTCCTTCCCCTTCTCCTAGTCTCTCCTCCCCATCTCTGGCCTTCACTTTCCAGAGAGTGTCAGGTATCTTCAAGGACTGGGGGCAGGCCGGTTCCAGTCTATGGCTGGCTTCCTTTGCAACTGATAAGCTGGGGGCAGTGGTGTGGGGGCAGGTAGAAGACCCAGAAGGGACTGCGAGTCAAAGAGGTGCAGTTGCGCGGACGCTGCGCCATCAGCTGCCCACATCCTTGTTTCAGTTCTCCCCTGTGAAAGCGCCAATTATCAGCATACATATGTATCTATCATGTGTAACACAACATAGGAAGGCAGGTCACTCACTTCTAAAACATATTCACGAGTTTGCCACTGAGACCCACTAAAGGGAGTTCCACCCTTTGTTCTGGGTAATAGGGTATTAACTCATCAGGAGAACCTGACCGAAACTCTGACCAAACTCTCTCTGGTTTGATTTGCTCTTTTGCTGGCCCCCAGCAGTTCCTTCATGATGTTCCTTCTGATGCCAGCACTTTCCACATAGCCAAGGCCTGCTCATCCCTCAAGGCTCAGCTCCAGCACTACCTTCCCCTACTCCCCCAGCCTCCCTGATCTCTCCTGTCCTTCCGTGTTCTCGACTGCACCATAAGTTAGCACCTTACACTACACAGTCTTGTGTTAGCCTCAAATTGCGTTGCAGATGTAAGTCTTTCTCTCTAACCAGATGGTCACCTTCTGGAGGGCACGTGACAGATTTCCAATAAATACTCATCACACTGGATGGAACTGAATTAAGACACTAGCAATCCCAGGGCCCAGGGAGAGGCCTAGGGTTCAGACCCAAAGTCTTCAGACAGATGCCTCTATCTCCTCCCAGGTATGAGTTGGTAAAGGAGTGAGGTGGGGAGGTACTCACAGTGACCAGGGCCATAAATGCCACCTTTCAGAGGCTCCTCCCGAGTGGCCCACCAGGACCAACCCACTTCTGAAGCAATCTCCCTGGAATTCTCCCAAAAAGAACAGTATCAGCCATAGGGCATCCCAAGGTACAGGGATAAAAGGGTAGAGTGCGGTGAGAGGGAAGGAGAGGCAGAGAGGGAACTCGAGGGAAGCAAAGCAGAGCTCACAGCAGCTCTGACCTTCTACCTTTAATACCTAAGATCTCAGACTAGGCCTCCTCGGTGGCTTTGGAAAACAAAATTTGGGGTCAACTCTCAGTGGGAATGAGCATTCCACATACGAATGGAAGTCAATTCCACTTCAGTGTCAGCCTTTGAAAGGCCCAAATGGCTCAAGAGGGCAAAAAAGGATCTGAGGTAAATACAAACATTAAAAAGAAACCCAGGCCTGTGAGTGGCTAAGGCAGCTAATTAATCCCAAGTGAGCCTGGACCATCTCTGTCATATCTTTATCCCTGGAATGGGAACAATCCAGTAAATAAGCGCAGCAGAGGTCCTCAGTGTTCTTAAGTAACTGCCATGCCCTCGCCACACTCAGTGGAAATTCGCCTCTAAATACTCACCCCAGCTTCAGAACTCTGGAACACTCGTCACAGGCAAATGCTCGCTTGTATTGTCTGAAATTTATATTACACTATATAACAAGTGCAAGATTGTAAGGTAGGTCCTTGAGGACTGACACTGTGGCTTATGCCTCCTTGGGTCTCAGAGCTTAGCACAACATGTTCCCCTGCCCCGTTAAGGCAGCTGTGGAAATGACACTAGGTGGTCTGTAAAATCGGGCTGTAAAGAGAGATCAACCCAACTGATGATACCAGAGCCTCTCAGGCCAACTGGGAAATGGACAAATGAGAATAAAGAAACCACTCACGCCTGAGCCCAACACCTGCCTCTTTTGGCCTTTGCACACTCTGTCCCCAAAAGTCAAGGCTCTTCTAATCGCCTTTGTCCATCCATCCCAGACCTGGATAATTCCATTGCTGCCCTCCCCCCAGCCCCAGCAGTGGGTGCTGAGGCTCCTGACAAGGCCTCCTGGGACAGCAGGATGGTGGAGCAGCTCACAAGGCAGACTCTGGAAGCAGGTGGAGTTGGGTTTGATTTTGCTCTTTCACCAATCACTAGGTGTGTGACCTCAGGAAAGTCACCAAGCCTCAGCTTCCTCATCTGTCTCATCTGTAACATGGGGATAAATAATAGTACCTACCCTCATAGGGACACTGTGGAAATTAAATTATATCTTCCGCATAAAGCCCATAGCACAGTGTGGGGTGCACAGGACATGATCAATAAATGTTAGCTATTATTATTATTATTACTCACACTATGGAGGGCAGTTAAGATTTGGGAAAGGGTCCACAGCTTGGAGCAATTCTCTGCCACCAGTGCTATGACTAACCAGGCCAAAGCAACGTCCCGGAAAAGAAACCTTCTGTGAGAGGCATAACCTCCAGAGCTCAGCTTCCCCTAGTTCATTGATTTTGCTAAAGATTCCTTTCTGGAGCCTTCAGAAACCACTCCTGTCTCTTGCGCCCTTTCCTCATCCACTGCTCTGCCAAACTGTACTGGGACAGAGGCACTTGGGGAGTGGCGGTGAATAGGGAGTGGGAGAGCAGAGGCCACCACTGATTGGTAGCATCCAACTTCCAGGCCAATTAGCCAGACACCGTGAGAATACATTGCAGAACAGTAAGCAACGAAGTCCATGAATTGAGGATGCTTGAGCCTTCACTAATGCGCCCAGTATTTTAAAAATAACATCCACCTGCTCCCAGGAATCAAGAGTTGGAATGACTGTTTGGATTATATTCTAATAGTCCTTGACTTATATTCTGTATGTGTTTTATTTCTAGCAAAGGAGCTGAAGGTTGGAGTTCTGCATATGGCAGGGCAGATGGGACCCAACATCCCTTCTGAGGAGCTGGCTGCCCTGTGTGACTGGTGAAGCTGTGACTTAGCCAAAGAAAATTTCTACAACTGCAGGCAGCCTCACACCCAGGACCTCTTGCCAACAGCCAGAATCTCCTCAGTGGGCCTCCAACCCCATGTTAACTTATGTGGTTTTATTTTGTTTTGTTTGTTTCCCACTGACAACCAAAACCCCGAGTCAAAGAAGCAAGAACATCCCCCACCAGCTCCTACAGAAATGCAGGAACTGCTCAATCTGATTGTACACGCCAAAAGGATGGTGCTTCCGGGCCATCAATTGGCACTTGTGTCTCGCTCCTGTCCCCTCAACCCAGGGAGCCACCCACTCAGGACCCCCAATCCCAGGAAGGGCAGTTCCCTCACTCCCCCCACCCCGGGGAAGACAGAGGGGTGGGGGCCCACTGGGCAGCTGGACCTGATGTCATCTCAACTCACCCTTTGGGCTTCAGCTCTTGCTCTTTTGTTCTTTCCATCGAGGGACACACAATATAGAAACTCCCTTAGTGCTTCCTCCACCTTGCCTAGGGTGGCTAAGGCTTGCGCTTTTCTGAAGTGTGCCTGGAAGAAAACATGAGCATTCAATCCCATGCTTATCCACCTCTTGATGCTGCTATCATTCATAACACCAGCTAACTGCTTTGTGGGTTTACGCTGTCGTGTGAAGGGTTTTAAAAGGACTATCTCATCTATAGCCCTGCTAGGTAGGCAACTGTTCAAGGAGATAAAACTCAGATCCAGAGAAATGACTCGCCCCAAATCATAAGAAATTGTGGAATCAAGTTTTGAGCCTGGGACTGACTGATACCGAAGCCCAAATTCTCAACCACTGTGCCTCCGCCTCCCTCTCTCCCGGCCCCACCACTGTATTGGAGGAGGTACCAAATGTAGCAAGAACCCCCATCTGAGCACATACGAACCAGGTTTCAGGACCTGCCTGGATGGGCCTTCCTGGTAACTGGTCTGTCAAGCAGAGACCTAGTCCATCTTACCGGCTGAGTGACCACCTACACTCACTGACCATTTATCAGAAGACGCCCAAGTGAGCCAAGGCATGTGATCTCTCCAAGACCTCGAAGGTAGCTAGTAGCAAAGCTGGAACTAGAACTGTGCCCCTCCCCGCAAGGCAGACCGCCCTTTGGAGGGCTAACCAGGGCCTGCACAAACGCTTTGGCTCCTGTGGGCTCAGCTCCCTCGCCACGTCTTGAAATAGCATAAGAAGTTTTAGGGCTCCTCAGGGTCCAAGCCCAACTGCCCTGGGAGAGAAACCCTAAGGGGTAGGAGAGGTGCATCCTGGGGAAGAGGGAGGAAAAATAAAAGAGGTGGGAGGAGGGCTGCCTCCTCTCCGTGCCTTAGGACAGGTGCTCCTGGCAGCTTGGCTTGGAGGCTGCCCCTCAGGGGCCTGCTCCCCACTCCCTCAGCTCCACGGCTGACCCCGAGTGTAACTTAGTGAAGGAAACAATCCAGGGTGCATCTGCTGGGCACTCTAATATGCGGGGCCTCCCCTTCCGACACGCCTCTGCAGGCTGCAGTGCCCTCCGGCTCGGGCCTGGCTACAGGGGCCAGCTGGGATCTGCCTTCCTGAACAGTGGCGCCTGCTCCAAGCCTCTTGGGGGCCTCCCCAAGAACTCCCCCTCCTTCTGGAGCCGGATGCATGGCTTGTTGCATCTTCCCAGCAGTGCTCCGGGGGCCCTCAGGAGAAAGGCTTGTGTGACATTTCAGGGCGGCTAGAGGGGATAAGTGCTGGCAGCCTCTAGAGGCTTTGGGATCTGACCAATCATACCAAGCAGCCACCCGTATATACTCCAGCTGCTCAGGGCCGCCAGCTCACCCTCCTGGAGCTGCACCTCCTGCAGGACAATTTGAGAAGCACGAGCCCTGGCTGGGTGGCTGGAATAGGGCTGCACGCAGTGAACTCCTCCCACAAGGGCGTTTCATATAGAAATGGTGGGAAATATGCACATCGGGGTGTAAGGCGGCTCTGAATCAGAAGCACCGTTCAAGTCTTCTCTCGACCCCCACGTCAGCAGAGTTCTCTCGTCACTGCCTCTCTGCTTACCCCAGCACTTTGGGGAAATGAACTCCTGCTTAATATTTCCACCAACTCTTCCTTCACTGGGGAAGTCACTTTTCGTGTTTCATCCAATATGGTCCACTGCTTACTCAGCCTTGTTTCCCACTGCACTGTCAAGGCCCCAACCCTTAGGGGGCCTAAGCAGAAAGAGTTGCAAGAGAAGTCCTCTTATGCCCAGGCAGCTCACTGGCCTGCACCACTACAAGGCCTGAAATGCTCCCACTGAAGGTCCTGTGGGTTAAGACTTTGGTGACTTTGAATAAACTGTAACTGTGCTCCTTGGGAAAGAGAATATACTAATCCATCATCATTCATGAAAACCTTCTCATGAAAGAACATACGAGATTCACTCTGACATTAATGGCCCAGTATGCAGCTCCACAATGTTTTATCTGAAGTTCCCAGATCCAGAAAACAGTCTGATAATCCAATATTTTCATAAGCTTGACATCAGAATCATTAGGTGGCAAAACCTGACCTAAAACGATGTGTGTTACAGTCTTTGTCCCACTTTGTGTGTATTTTCATGTAATATCCTGCAGAAATAGCGTGTGTGACTATGGGGCACTGTCCAGAGCGCAAACCTGGGCTTTGTGAGATTGGAAACATTCTGGATTCTGAACATATCTGGCCCCACGGGATTCAGATAAGGGATCACAGCCTTGGATGAGTTGGGGTTGTGTAGAGAGAGCACCACACCAAGAGCCAGCGTTACAGCTCACAGAATGGTCTCTTGGCCATGCTCACCTGTAACCCTCACTGCATCACTGTGAGGCGATCAGGGCGGACAGCAAGATCTTCGTTTTGCAAACTAGGACACTTAGGGTTCAGAGAGTGAAGCGACTTCCGCATGGTCACTTAGCTTGCAGGTAGTAGAGCCCAGGCTCAAATCTAATCTTCTAAACAAAATATTGAAATGTGGCTGAGGGCCAGTCCTGAGGCCTGACAGAGATGCAGAAAGTGACACTTTGCGCCCTGGCATCTTGAGAGATGCTGAACCCGTCTTTCTCCCCACCCCTCCACGTGACCTACATGTTTAGGGGAACCGGCAGGCTGACTGACTACATTAAGGACTTGAGATGGCAGAACGAGCCAGCAATACCTCTCTCTCCCTCCTGTTTCTACTGTCCTGGGAAAAGAATGGTGCTGATGACGGCAGACACATACAACGCTATGTGCCAGGCATTGTTCTAAGTATCTGCATGCGTTAGCTCATGTAATCCTCACAACAAACCCTATGAAGTAGATGCTTTAAATATCCTCATTTTACAGATGAGGAGATGAGGTACAGGGAGGTTAGGTAATTTGCCAAGGCCGCACAGCTAGTAAAAGTAGCAGAGCTGGGACATAAACTCAGGCAGTCTGGCTCCCAAGTCCATGCTCTAGAGAGTCACAAGGCCCAGGCTGCTCTGCGGGTCATCAGTGGAAGATCAGGTTGGGGAGGAATCCAGCTCCCTTGCAGATCACCCTAAGTCACCCTTTGTCAAGGGACCCCCCAGCTCCTCTGAAGAGCCTTCTCCCTGCTCTGAGTGAGGGAGGCAGTCCTGCCTGCCAGTTCCTGTCTACAGTACAATTCCTTCCCATCCCTCCCATCCCACACTCACCTTAAACCCCATGGGGCGGAGCTTACATGCTATTTCTGCATCATGCAGTGCATCCTCATGAGACTCCAAGGTGAAATAAATTTGAGACCGGTTGCTGTAAAGCAAGTGGTCATTTGGAGCTGCCAAAATGAGAAAAAACAAACAAACAACAACAACAACAAAAAAAAACCTTGAGCAAAATGGCAAGTTATCTAGGACTTTTCTACTAGGGACCCAAAGGGGTAAGCTCGATCTCCAGCCTTAATATTGCCCTGCCTACCACACCCCCCAGCCACTCTGGGTCTGAGCTTCCCCAGCTGTAAAGAAGTCATTTTCCCCCTTCTCTCAAGCAGTTCCTTAGAGGGCCTGTGGTGTCAGTGGTGCATTAACAACTTTGACTCTCACACCCTAGAACTCTCTCACCCTGCTTCATGGCCATGGCTAGCAACTGGCAGCCTGGCTTCTGGGTGAGGTATTGCCTCACCAGGCCAGGGAGGAAGGAGAAGGGGATGGCCAGATGTGACCCCCATCCTTGCCACCAGGAAGACAAGTCCAAGTTAGTCTCCCGGTGATATCAGCGACATCTCTGTCTACAAACCCCAGCACACATGAAGTTCTTCTGAAGAAAACAGAAATGCATCTGCAAGCCTCCATCCTCTCATTACAGATAGGCAGATGTGAATGGACAAGGCTTCTGGGAATAAAGTGAGGTTGGCTCTCACCAATACTCTGAACCACTAGATGCCAGGGCTGGAAAGGCCTTTAGAGATCATCTGGCTCAATCAACCCATTCTTCAAGGAAAATCAAGCCCAGAGAGGGGAAGGCATCTGCTCAAGTCTAGCTAGCTGGCCAGACGCATTACTAACTTGCCAGACTTTGAATCTGGGGTGGGAGACAGGTTCCTTTTTTTCCTAAGGGGAGTGTAGTATACTTCGAATAGTAAGGAAAAGAGACTGGCCATCTTCCGGCACCAAGATACTCTTTGTTGGGGAGGTCCCTTTCCTCTTAGAAGGGTGAAGAGCTCTTGACATTTTTCACCTTGACTCCTCTGGTGGTGCAAGGAAGAACCCCCAGGGAAAAGTGGTGACAGCAACAAAGGGGGGGAGGAGGAGGGCAGGAAGGGGCTTTCATAGCCCTTGGGGGTCGGCTGAAAGGAATGGAACCTCCCTTGGAGACCTGGGCTTAAGCGGCTGCCACCTGTCTACGTCGTACTGCCCTGCTCTTCCCCAGGGAATGGGCTCCAGCTTCTGTTGCGGGAACAGGCTTTGTTGGGGTTTTTCCCCCAGGGGTGTGCAGAGGGTTCGCCTGGGTGCCCATTACTTGCTCTTAAGACATCAGTCAAGAGTTTGCAGTCTCCTCTGTCCGTTTCCTTGCAGCACACACTGTGCTTTGCTTGGGCACACGGGGTCTCGTTCCTCCCCCTCCCCCACTACCTGTTGCAAGCTCGGGTGGAGATGCAACACGTGGAGACGCCAGCCCACCCCCTCCTCCACCCATCCGAGTGGGGCTCAGGGCACCCTGGGATCCCAGAGCCCTGTCTGCCCAGCTCTGTCGCCTCCTCGCCGGCACGCTTCGCCAGACACCGCGCCCCGCCGCCGAGCTCCTGGCAGCCGGCCTGAGCTGGGCAATACCCGAGGCTCGGCGGCCACTTCCTGGGTCCAGACGCGGGGGGTCGTGGGGGGGGAGTCGTTCCCTGAGAGAACTCGGGCGCCCTAGTGCGGCCCGAGGCGCGGGACTGTCCACATCGCCCTTGAGGCCGCAAAGACCACCCATCCCTCCTCAGGCGGCACGGGAAAGCGGGACAGAGGCGGCCCCCTTGGCAGCCAGCCCACGGTCCCCGAGGATCCCCGAGCCGTCGCCTGGCCGGTCGCCCTCTGGCCTGTCGGGCTGGTGTTCGAGGCGCTCCTACCTCTTCAGTCATTGCATCTCTCTGACTCTTCCGCCTTGAACAAGCAACTGAGGGAAGGAACCTGATTATGGTCCAAGAAGAGCATTCATTGTTCTTCCACTTTTAAGGGCACTTAATTAGATTACATTGGGCCCACCCAGATAATCCAGAGTAATCTTCCTATCTTGAGGTCCTTAACCAAAATTCCACTTGCAAAGTCCCTTTTGCCATATGCTGTAATATACAGGTGCCTAGCAGCGGCGGGGGGGGGGGGGGGGGGGGCATCTATTTCAGCCGAGGATCGTGTGATAGGAAGCGGTGACAATGAGTCACAGGGCGACGGGGCGCGAGCGCTCCCCCCACCCCGCCCGCACACGCTCCCGGGATGGTTTCCGAGGCGAGCGTGGCCCACTTCAGCTACCTCAGCCGTTACACAATCCTGCCCGCCCGCGCGGAGGAGGGGCCGCCCGGCCCCGGCCGCTCGCGGCCCTTATGCAACCAGTGCTCTCCTGACCTAATTCCACGCCGGACCCACCCCACCGGGAGCCGCGGCCCCGGAAGGGACAACTCCCGGCAGCCACGGCGGCCCCAGGCCGGGAGGGAGCGGCAGACGCAGGCGCCGACCGAACATCCCAGGCTGGCGGGAGTCCAGAGGCCCCGGCGCGCGAGTGGGAAGGGGGCGAAGTTCCCCTGCTGGCCCGAAAGCTACGGGCAGGTGTTAAGAGGGGCCCGAGCGCGCAGCGACAGAAGGAGAAGGCGAGCCCGAGAAACAGACGGTGACACCGAGCAAGAGCCAGAGTGACAAAGACACGGAAAGAAAGAAAAAGACGGAGAAACAGAGCGACACAAACAGAAGCAGGGACTGAGACACGCAGAAACACACAAGCTAACAGGAGACACAGAAGAAGACAAAGAGCAAGGAGGTAGGCAGAGACCCAGAGAAAGGGCCATGAACCAGTAGAGACAGAGAAAAAGTCGGAGACGGAACTCCAGAGCCCCCCTCCCCCACTCCGGTCGCGGTCCATCCCAAGGTCCGCGCGCCCTCCTCCGCCCGGGTCCACCCCGCAGCTCCCCGCCGGGCTCGTGCCCCCACCCGCCCCAGCCCCGGCGGCACGGTGGCCTCACCCAGCCTAACTGCCTCGTTGTACTTGAGCAGCGCCGCCTCCACCTGGCGCTCGCGGTACAGCCGGTTGCCCTCGTGCCGGAGTTGCGACGCCCTTGCCGGGCCCGGGAACAACTTCCCGAGGAGGCCGCTGAGCACCACGTTGACCCGCAGCGGCGGCGGCGCCTGCTGCCCAGCTCGCCGGGCCCCGCGCGCCCGCCCGGTGGCCACCATCAAAGCGGAGAGTTTGACCCCGCACAGCGCACAGCGCCGGTCGGCTGCCCGCCCGCGTTCCAGGCACAGTTTACAAAAGGTGTGTCCGCAGGACAAGGACACGGGGTCTGAGAGAAATCCATGGCACTTCCGGCACTTGAAGCCGTCCCACACCTCGGTGGCCTCGGCGGCCGTCGCCGCCCCTGCCTCTTCCGCCGCCAGCGCGCAGCTCGCCCCGCGGCTCCCGTCCGGGGGCTCCGGCGCCGGCTCCTCGCCTTGAGGGACTTTCTCGGCCAGGCAGCGCACCAGCTGCTCCAGCTGCTCGGCCACCAGCTGCTGCCGCTCCGAGAGCTGTCGGTACACCTCGAGGGCTTCCCGGAGGCGCCCCCCAGACGCCAGGGCGTCGGCCTGCGTGAGCAGGACTTTGCACTCCGGCGTCGAGGCCCTCGGAGGCCGCTCCTGCGGCGGCGGCCGAGTCGGTAGAGGTGCGGGGCCTTCTGTAGCCGCCTCTGGGTGGGGGCCCGTGTCTCCGCGGGCCGGTGATGCCGCCGGCTCCGCCAGCTCTAAGTTGTTGCTGCAGAGCTCGGCGGGCAAGCTCAGCATCTGTTCAGTCTGAAATGAATCCATAGGGAGAGGGACATGCGTGGGGAAGAGGCGTCTAGGGGCCGGGGACGCGGAGCAGGGAGCGGCGGCTGGAGGGAATCGGGGCTGCCACGGCCGCCGCTCTGCCGCTCGCCGGTCCCTGCAATGCCTCCGCGAGCTCCATGCCGGCCGCCCCGCGCCGCCTAATAACTGTCTTGTCTCAGCAAAGTGTTATATAAAACGGCACCACGTGACGCGCCGCCACGCCGCTCATTGGCCGGCGGCGGGGCGATTGTTACAAAACCAGACAGTTTTGTAACAGTGTTGTGCTTGCTTCTGTGGGCTTAGCTTTTCTTGGCTTCTTTTTGCGGTTGTTTGTGTTTACACTCTGTCTTAGTTCCCCTCGCAATGTGGTTCCTTTTCGGAAGACGGGGAGGGAAAGAAAAAACCCAGCGTCTTCTCCTGGGCTTCTCCGTCTCCAAACCCTACCCCATCCCTCCTCCAAACCCGTCAGCAAACAGGTCTCCTCTGCCAGCCGCCCGCTAGCGGTCCCCTCTCTCCTCAAGAGGCCGGTACCTCGAGGCACGCAGTCCGCCAGGTCTTTGGGGACGCCGGAGGCTTGCCCTCCCAGGGGCGACGGCGGCTGTCTGCGAAGGGAAGCGGGTTGGGAGGGTCCCCGGGCAGCCCCCACTCGGGTACCGGCCCCGGCTCCTCACACCCGGGGTCCCTGGCCACCTTCCCCAAGGAGCCCCCCGAAGGTAGTGAGTGCGGTTATCTGAGGGCGCTTGATCTCCTGTGCCGGGAAAGACTCGGAGCAGCGGGCCCGGCGGGCTCAGCAGTTTGGCGGCGCTCGCTGAGCGGAGAGGGACGTGCGGAGAAGATGCGCTCGCCGGCGAGCGCCCGGAGGAGGCCCCGCGCGCGCCCCGCTTCCTCACCTCTCTCTCCTCCAACGCTGGAACCTGCGCTGGGGCGGGGGGCCGGCGCCCCGGCCCTGGGGGCCACCGGCAGGATGGGCGCGGCCGCGAGCACAAGGCCTGCTGGGGTCAGTGGGCACTCCGCGGGCGTGGGAGAGCGGCGGGCGGAAGGCGGGAAACCAGAGCGCTGCTCGGGAGAAAGTCCGCGAGTCCCGGCGCACTCCAGCGGCCGGCCCCGCTGCATGCCGGTCCGCCGCTCCAGAGCGGAGACTTCCGACGCAGGCGTGTCACAGTGGGGAGCTGCACCCAAGCCGCGATGCTTGGCTCACAACGGCTAGGGGTCTCAAGGGTGCCCCGCTTCCTTCCAGAAGGCCAGAGTGAACCGCCCACCCCACGTCTCCCTCCCACCCCCACACTTCGGACGGGAGCCACTCGCTCAAATAAGGGTCCTGCTGCTCCAAGCAGGGAGGTGGGGTCTGGACTTGTCTCCGGCTCAGTGGGCCTGCGGAGTCGGCAGGCTCTCGGTACTGCCTGGAGCCACGACCGAGGTAGAATGCCGCCGCAGAGGCCTGAGGACCTACAATGGGCTCCTGCTCTGGCCACTTCTTAGCTGAGTGACCTTGGGCAAGTGATCTAAAACTCTGGGAGCCATCGTTTTGGCTTCTGAACCAGTGTCAAGGATGACTAGTTATGCTTCAGAGCTGGGAACCACAGGCTCCAACCGGGCTGTGTCTCTTTAGGTCATTAATCCCCCTTGAGTCAACACCGAGGTCCCAGAGAACAGGTACTGTGCAGCTATCCTTAGAGCGTCCCTCTGAGACAGGACGGGGGGGAGAGGGTCAGAAGGGAGAAGGGACACGGGCACATAGGGGAAAGGGACCAAGAAAAGAAACCAGAGGAACTCAGGATGTGGGGAAGAAGGCACACGTCGGAAAACCTGGCTTGCAGCCCTGGCTTTGTCATAACTTGCTGTGAGACTTTGGGCGAGTCCTCCCACAAGGTCTCAGTTTGACAAGGTCTTGTCCTAATGTCCAAGTTTCCCTCCAGCTTGAACCTTGACAGCCTTCTATCCTAAGACTAGATGTCATGATACCCAACTCAACTACTTAAGTACAAAAGACTAGTCCAGATGCTGTGGGAGATGGTGGCTTGGACAAGGGGGTGAGGTCAGCAGTAGTAGTGGAAGGGCAGGGGTGGCTAGATGGCTGTCCTCTTCTTCAAGGTCAGGCCTGAGCTAGAGTTTGAAGCTGGGGGAGTCAGGAGGCCAAGAGGTGGAGGGGAAGACTATGCTGGGCAGTTGGGGAGAAGCTGGAGCTCCTGCTGACTTGCTGTCTAAAGGAGGCTCCTTTCACCTTCAGTTTCCCCTGTTATTGAATGGGGTCTATCAGTCCGTTCAGGCTGCTGTAACAAAACATCATAGACTGGGTGGCTTATAAACAACAAACATTTATTTCTTACAGAGAAATTTATTTCTGGAGACTGGGAAGTCCAAGATCAAAGTGCTGGCAGATCCAGTGTCTGGTAAGAACCCTCTTCCTGGCTCAAGACAGCTGTCTTTTTTCTGTAGCCTCACATGGTGGAAAGGGGCAAGGGATCTCTATGAGGTCTTTTATAAAGGCATGAATCCCATTCATGAGGGAACCCTCATGACTTAATCACCTCCCAAAGGCCCCACCTCCAAATACCATCACATTGGGGATTAGGTTTCAACATATGAATTTTGGCGGGGGGACGCAGTCTGTAGCAGGGTGCCAGGCATTAATTATCTGCCTGTCCCTTCTGGTGCCTGTGAGGAGGGATAACCTGTGGGGCAGGTAAAGAGATTTATATGAAAGGGCCATGAGATGGAAGATGATGACCTCTTAATTCAAAAATTTTATCCCTTTGACAAGTTTTAAAAATAGATAGATATTGGTTATCCAAAATTGTCTTCCAGATGCAGATTTGGGACCACCTTGACAAGTAAGCATTCCCTGGGTTGGCTTCCCTCCCTTACCCGCCATGGCAAGGAGGCAAGGAGAAGGCCAAGTCAGGCAGCGGGTTTCATTCAGTCCTGCAGACTTCGAGTAGGGTTGCTCTCATCAGGCAGCCCCTCTGGACAGCTGTGTGTGCCATGGCTAACCAGGAACTTAGGAAGGTTAAAAGCTGCCAGCGTGTTGCAGGGTGCAATGGTGCAAAAGGCAGCACCATCCACTCACTGACCAGGCCACGTGAGAGTTTTACATTGCATTTTCAAATCAGGACTACCTGTAGGATAACACCCAGTGGGTTTCTATTGAATACTGGAGAACATTACCACAATGCTTGTCTCTTTAAGCAAACATTCCATTGATATTCATTTGTGGACCAACTCACAAATCTCCTACTCAAAACTTCTCCTCTGCCCTTAATAATTGAAGTTCCCTAGAACTTGGCGAGGAGGGGAGAGGAGAAACTGAGAACGCTTTTTCAGATGCAAATATTCCCTTTAGAGGGCTGGGTCCTTCAAACCTCCATCTATTTTGCCAGCATCCCCTCCTGGCTAAGGTTAACCAAGAAAAAGAGCAAGAGTTGACCCGCTCCTCCTTTTCAACTGACTTACTGCAAGTTTTCCAGCTGGGCTCTGAGGATTCTCTCTGGGGCCCAGAGGAGACAGCAGGCAGGGTTCGACTCTAGCTCCCCTCAACCAGGGCAACCTTGCATCCACCTGTTTCATGTAGTGAGCTTTGGGGATGATGTCATTGAAGAAAGACTTTCCCTTCCTTAAAATTAAAAAGTTTGAAAACTGTGGCAGTTTTCACCTCTTTTAACATATTTGCTGAGCATCTTCTATGTACCAGGCACTGTTCTAGGTATTGGAGATATATCAAAGCAGCACTTCGCTCCCAGGTCCTCCCTTATATATGGTGGCAGCTTTTCCCCACACATTCTTGTCCCGGCCTCCCAGGCCAACTAGAGGGCAAGGACTAGTGTCTTATGTCTTTCATTTCCTCCTCAGGGGACAGTATTTGAACAGACCGTACTGAACACTGCAGTGGACATTCTGACCCTACATGGGAGTGTGCAGAGGGACAAGAGGAAACCCAGCTAGAATATGTCATACCTTTGCCCTGGGTTTTTCACAGAGAGAGTGGGCATGCAGATAATTAAGGGTTAACAGTCCTACACTTGGGAAGGACTGGTAACAGCTCTGGGATGGAAGAATCCAGTCAAAGCCAGGGAGCTGCAGTGAGGAATGAGTGACACCGCCACACACACACTCTCTCTCTCTCTCTCTCTCTCTCTCTCTCTCTCTCTCTCTCACACACACACACACACACACACACACACACACACACACACACTCTCACGCTATGCATGGAAGCTTGGCCAAAGCATTTACTTGTTCTTTACTTGAGTTTCTCATTTTATAAACTGGAGGTTATCCATCGATTATGTAGTCCTCAGAGGAAAAAAAATTAGGCATGGTGGGCATTAAAGACATTGACATGAAAAAGGCTGCCCTTGCTATCTAGAGTAGCCAAAAAATCCAGAGCTAAAAGAAACTTTACAAATCAGCCCTGGTTTCACAAGTGAGGGAACCCAGGGCTAGAGAAGGCAAGCGACTTGCTGCAGGTCACAATGGGAGTCTGTGACAGAGCCAAGATTGGAAGCTAGGGCTCTTGCCTCTTTATTTAAAGTTCTTTCCATGTGACCAGAAAGCTTCCAAAGGACACAGAGCGTCTCCCAAATAAATAAGAAATTATTTCAGATTTCCGAATTACAAGATTTGCCATTCAACAAATATTTACTGAAGAGATACGAGGTGCTAATGGAGCTGGCATTTGCCGGGCAATAAGAGAAGGGTAGGTCATGGCTTTTACCCTCCAGTAGCTAACTGAGGAAACAAGAGGCAAAGATTTGAAACAGTTAAGTAAAAATAACAAGCAGTATGTGAGAAGTGCCAAAATTGGGGGAACAGTGAGTCCAAGCGAGAGCTCAAAGGAGACAGAACGCAATGCTTCCCATCTCGTAGCAAAGGTTCCTTTAAACTGAGTTGGAGAGGATTTACATAGAAAAGTTAAAGACCACCCCGCTGCTCAAATCAAGGGGGTTCCCTTCACCCTGGGGGCCACTTGGCCAGGAGAAAGGAGAAGAAATCCAAGTAAGCCA